TTTTCTATTGCTTTAAGAGGAAAGGGTCTCTCTCACTGCTGCCTAATTAAATGGGTTAATTTCTGACCAACTGCAGGTTCCCTCACAAAGGTTTTGCTCTGTGCCCCCCATCCCCAACCGCAGTATAGGGGTAGGGGTCTCCTGCATGACATCATTATTAGCTATTTGTCTTCTGGGCTTTCCCTGGCTTTGTTTTCTCACTTGGGAACCATATGGATGGAAAAGTGCAGATTTCCACCTCACCAATGTTCGCTGCTAGCCCCCACCCTCCATCACTAGGAGTCTTTTTGCTATATTTTTTTTAAGAGGTAGTAAATTTAACTCTGATTTGAATTAGTTGGTTTCGTTCTTAACCCACGGAAGGAACCTGAACCACTTAATCCAGGCTGCTTGAGAGGGACTCTGGATGAACAGGCTTTCATCGCTGGGGTTGCTCTGAAAGGAAGAGAGGGGTCTGCTGGCACCCAAGAGCACCTTTAACACTTCCCACCTCCTATTACTAGCGGGTTTGACCTCCGTTCTGTCTGGCTAACTTAAAGTGGCTTCCAGGAGGCAATGCTCTAAATCAACCAAATCTTGCTTTAAGAGAGAGATCCAGATGGGTGGCCCTGTTAGTCTGTCTGTAGCAGGAGAAAAAAAGCAAATGTCCAGGAGCACTTTCAAGACTAAGGACACTTGTGGCAGGGGAGTCACTGCTCACTTCATTGGATAGTGAGTGAGCCATGACTCAGGAAAGCTCCCCCGCCACAAATTTTATTAGTCTTTGAGGTGCTCCTGGTCTCTTGTTCTTTTCTATTGCTTTAAGAGGAAAGGGTCTCTCACACTGCTGCCTAATATGATTTAAATGGGTTAATTCTGACCAACATCAGGTTCCCTCACAAAGGTTTTGCTCTGTGCCCCCCATCCCCAACTGCAGTATGGGGGTAGGGGTCTTCTGCATGACATCATTGTTAGCTATTTGTCTTCTGGGCTTTCCCTGGCTTTGTTTTCTCAAATAGGCTTGGGATGCATATGGATGGAAAGTTGCAGATTTCCACCTCACCAATGTTCACTAGGAGGCTTTTTGCTATATTTTTTTAAGCTGTAGTAAATTTAACTCTGATTTGAATTAGTTGGTTTCGTTCTTAACCCTGATCTGGAGATGCAGAGTAAAGATTCTTGGAGGTGTCTGTATCACAGAGAGGTGTCTATGTCACAGAGAATCACTACCAAGTCACGCAGTTAGTTTCCAGTGATAGAGTGAGGATTTGAATTGGGGTCTCTCAGATCCTAGTATGGGACCAATGTTTCAGAGGGACTGCCTCTCCTGGCATGTCCCCTAAAGGACACGCCGTTCAGCTGGTAACAACTTGTTGATGATCCTTGGCCCAAAGGCCATCCGGCTATCCAGGGTCAGGGCCTTTATGGCCCCGACCCCAACCTGATGGAACACTCTGTCCAATGAGACCTGGGCCCATGAAACTATTTTGCAAGGCTTGTAAGGTGGAGATATTCCACCAGGCACATGGTCAAGGATGAGTGACGGCTTCCCACCTTGGACCATCCCCTGAACTGCCATTTACTGTGCCATCTAGCAAGGAATGAATAATGTGACTGTTGGGACTGCTGATTTTAAGCTAAGTTATATTTAGTTATGTTGATTTTAAATGTTGTGATCTGCCCTGAGCCCTACAGCATAGGGAAGGGTGGGCTAGAAATCCCATTTAATAAATAGTCTGGCACCACCACACTGGCTCTCTACCAGCCTAAGATGGGGTTAAGCTCTCAGTAATAACTGAAGATAAGATCCGGCCTTGTTGCTAAGTACTGTTCCTAAGAGCTTCTTTCTGGCCATCCTGATCCATAACCTCCAGACTGGATTACAGTAATTTGCTCTACATAGAACCAAGTTTGAGTCCAGTCTGGCACCTTGAAGACCAACAAAGTTTAATTCTGGGGATAAGCTTTTGTGTTCAAGCAAACTTCGTGTGCGTGCAATGGTAGAGTGGGGATTCGAATTGTTTCTTCGTTCTTCTGCTTCAGACCAACGCAGCTGACCACCTCAATGCTGTACATAGGGCTGCCTTTAAAAGTGTCCCAGAAGCAAAACACAGCATGTAACTCCAGAGGCGTGTCTAGTGCACTCTTTGCTTCCAGGCCCATTCAGAGTGCTGGTGACGACCCTTAAAACCTTTCATGGCTGAGGGCCCTCTTTTCACTCTGCTCACTTGATCCGGATCCAGACACCTTTAATGGCGTAATAATATAGAAATGATACATTTAGTTCCAGCAAATAAATTTAGACAATAAAAGTGTATATATTATGTAAAAAATCTGCATCTAAGTGCAACCGATTCTGCTCAGAATTTTGCAACCATCAGTATTGGCATCATTAAGGAAATGTTAAACAGTTCTACATTTATTAAAAAATAAGTGTGGCCGAAGGGGTAAAAATTTCATACGTGAGGATGTGTGCAGCTGGGCAGTCCAGAATAATATGGGTGGCAGTGTGGTTGACTACCGCATCTGCTCTCCCTTTACCCTCCCTTTGTTGACAATTTTGCAGTTGGTTCTAGAACGGAAAGTGACCATCTACCCTTAAATTGTAACATAGATCCAGGTCTGAACAACTTTAGGGTCCCACAACTTAATTCTGATTGTGTGCGCTGGGGAAAATAAGATGGTCTCCTATTGTGGAGGAGAATTTAACCGTCTTACTTTATTCTAATACTGCAGTTAATTTGAAACTGCGATTAGCATCCACTCTGCTTACCTGGCCATGTGGATCCACGCTGTGGTTCCTTTGAGGCAGGACATCTGTAATGCACTCCACGTGGCTCTGCCGCTAAAGGCAACTCAGAACTACAGCTGGCACAGGGCACTGTGGCCCAGCAGCTGTCGGGCCCTGAGTGGAATCTGCACATCACTCCCTTTCTGAAGACATTCCTCTTGTCACCCATCAGCTGCTGGATTCAGTTCAAGGTGTGAAGTGTCACCTGCAGGATTGCCTGCCTCCTGCTGTGTTCTGCTGCAACAGCTATGCTCATCTGAGGAAAGCCTTCTGGCGGTGCCACCTTGGCACATGGCTAAAGCTGGCAGCTGCCCATTCACGTGCATTCTCTGTGGTGACTCCCACATTGTGGGATGGTCTGCCTGAGGCTGTTATGAAGCCCCCACCCACCCTCGGCATCCTCTTGTTTTGCCATATGTGCAAAACTGAATGGCTCAGGAGGGCATTTTTGTAGAAGGAGCAAAGCTGGGATGTGATGGTTCAATGAAGGAAGGGAGTCTTATTAGGAATAATAATAATAATAATACATGTATGAGCCCGCATTGCGGGGAGGGCGGGGTATAAATGGAATAAAATAAATAAATAAATAAATAATTTTATTCGGTTTATAACCAGCACAAATCTCTATATCAAAACCACAGTAATATTATAGATGCCACCATACACAGAGTTTTAAGGATTCGATTATCTTGTCTGTAACATTTATGTTTAAAACCCACAATTCTAAAAGCACTCAAATTAAAGTTCTAAAATGATTCACAGCATAATTGAATAAAATGTATCCTCACAAGTTCACGTGACCTCTAATTTACTTCTGGACTTTATCCCTACGAATTTTATGAGCTATGGCTAAAAATTTAGCACGATTCAATATGAACTGTGGATTAGGATCAAATAATAGTTTCCGGGTTACTTCCAAATCCAAAAACCCATAAAACCTCTCTAATATAGGGTGGGTGACCTTTACTCTGCTGTCTTCATTTTTTTTTAATGTTTTTTTTATTTTTTTCAATTTTTAACAATTCTAACACTTCAAACAGTGAACAATTAATCTTCCAATTACGTTCACATCCTGTAAATAGTTCCTGAGTATGTACAACGATATAACATGTTCAAAGAATTACAATACATTACTCATCACATTTCCGAATATGTTTTCAGTAGAAAGATAACAGACTTGGCGTAAACTTAACAGAAACATTAGGAAGCCATCTGAACTATTGGAGCGGTAAGAAAGAGAAGAAAGAAAAGGAAACTTCTATTATCAACTTACAATAACAATTACGACCCTTTGGAAGATTTAATGTGAAATATTAGAGCTAGTGGAGAAGAAATAAGTAAATAAGTATGAGATTTTGTGGAACTAGTCATTACATTAATCTTATATCCATTTGTGGTATTGAGACCAATCAGATGAGATAAATTGTTTTTGTGACAGATAATCCAGCACTGGGTACCATTTTTCTATGAAATTAGACTTTATTGGGTTTTGTGACATGTAATTTGGAGACTGCATCCATTAAGTAATGAGTCCAAAGTTTCTTGTACCATATTTCTACTGAGGGCGCCTCTTTCTCATTCCAGTACAATGCTATTGCTGTTTTGGCCGCATCTAGAAGGACTTCTATTGTGCGTCTATGTTTTTGAATACCTGGCCTGAAAATCTGACTTCATAATACCCACAGTGTAGTATTACATGTTCGATCAATTCTATGTTCCCTGCACTGCAGGGGCAGAGCCGCTCTGCCAGTGGTACCTTTTTATACTGGGGTTCTGTTACCACTGAGGGGAAGATATTGCATCTGGCCGTGGAGAAAGCCCTGTGGTGTGATGGAATCTCTAGAAGTGTTAAATATGTTGCAGGGGCAACTGTATATTTCATTTTCTGTGGGGCCAGGTAAGACGGGGGCCTTTGCAGTATCATTCGGGATAAAGTCTTTCCTATGCTGATAGCCTTCTTGCTTTAGACAGATACGTTTGCATGCTTTGTTCTTGTCTTTTGTTCCCCTGGTCTGTAATCTCAGCCCAGCTGTCTTACTAGAAATGTTAGCAGTTAAATTCAGATGTCATCACAGTTTTTGATCTGCTCACTGCCTCACGTTTTGTGGTCCACATTCTGATTGAGAGTGCTCGTAATCTGCCTTGGGTCCCAGTGAGAACTGTGACTATAAATGCAAATAATAATAATAATTGGCAAAGCACATCTTGCCGTACTTGTCCCTGTGCCAGTGATGCTCATCCGTCTTCCTGTAGGACGGTCTGTGCGCAGAGCAGGTACGGAAGCCATATTTGGGGAGGCGTGTGACAGTGTTGTTCCAGCCAGCATTTGCGGGCGGGCGGGGGGTAAACCGCTTCAGCAGATTCGGCTCTGTTCATTCTCACTCTCTGTGCTTTTAAACTGGGAATTTGTGCATTTTTATCGTCTTAATTGGGCTGGTATCCATTGTGTCCTCGCAACCTTGTCGTTGTCTTGTTAGCTGCCTTGAGCCTGAGGAGGCAGAAGAGAAGCATTTCAATGAAATGAGTGAACAGCCTTGTCACACTGTTCTGATATGCCCACTGCCAGTTTCCTTTCTAAAAGCAGATCATGGTGTGGGGAGGAAATGGGGGGGCCTAGGCGGGTTCTGCAGGGCAGTGTTCCCTGTAAGCTGAGTTAGTGTGAGCTAGCTCACAGTTTTTTTAGCCTCTGGCTCACACATTTTTGCCTTAGCTCAGGAAGGATGGTTCCAGAGCAGACTAATGTATGCAGTAGCCAAATTGCTCGCTCACAACTTTTAATGCCAGTAGCTCACAAAGTTGAAGTTTTGCTCACAACACTCGACAGCTTAGAGGGAGCACTGCTGCAGGGAATCGTCTCCATGTGGAAGCAACTTCAGATTAACGTGATTTGTGAAGGCGCTGCTGACTTTGTAGCTGCTTAAGAAAGGATGGAGCCGAGGTCTCTATGTCCACCCCACCCCCCTTCCATCTCGCATCACCAAACAGGCTTTGTAGGAGTGAACTGCATGGATTCCTCTCTCAGAGAGGTGAGAGTAGGGGCTGGGATCCGGTTCCCCCTTGCAACATCATTCTGGCCTACCTTGCCAGGCTGATGTAAAGATGACAGCAAGACAGTCTATATGGGAAGCACTTTGAAACACCGCACAATATAAATGCAAAATACTGTTATTCGTGGCCACAAAACAAAGTTTGGCACCTTTAAGACCAACAGAGTTTGAGTCCAGGTATAAGCTTTCGTGGGCACACAAATGCTTTTGCCCAGAATTAAACTGTGTTGGTCTTAAAGTTGCCACTGGACTCAAACTGTGTTCTGCTGCTTCAGGCCAACACGGCGGCCCCACCTGAATCTGTCTTCATGGCCGCAGAGTTTGAATGCCTTATTTTAAAAGTGTGTAAAGGCTTTTGGTTCTGTGGTCTAGCCTCCCCTCCCCCCCCTCCCTTTTATTAAAGAGGCTGCTTTCTTCTCCCTTTCTATAGGTTTGTTCGGCTCAGCTTACCACATGGTTCTGTTCCCGCCGGACACAACCCTGCAGGTGGTTCAGAGGGCCTCGATGGCTACGGTGACGATGGGTAAATCCCACGCTGGCTGCTTTGGGGCAGGGGCTAGGATGCCAGACCGAGGAGACACAGGCGTGTGAATCTCCGCTCCGAGTGACCCTGGGCCAGTTGCACCCTCTCTGCCTGGCCTGCCTCACAGGGGTGTTGGGAGGATAAAATGGAGGAGGGGGACACCCCGTCCGCTGCCCTGAGCTCCTTGGGAGGAAGGGCAGGGTCACCATCAGTGTTCCCTCTAAGCTATGGAGTCCTGTGAACAAAAAATCTGCTTTGTGAGCTCCTGGCATTAAAGTTGTGAGCAGGTGATTTGGCTACTGCATAAATTTGTTTGCTCCGGAGCCATCCTTCCTGAGCTAAGGCAGAAATGTGTGAGCCAGAGGCTAAAAGACTGTGAGCTACTTCTCACTAACTCAGCTTAGAGGGAACACTGGTCAGTCACCGTATGTATGAGATTCCTCCTGGCAGGGGCAGCCGTATCCCCTGGCTGAGTAGCCAGCACTGGACTTGTGGCTTATCCCTGACCAGTAGATCTGCTTTCCTGCCCCCCGCTAAGCTAACGAGTTAAGCCTTCAGTTCAGTTCAGTTAGCCTTTATTGGCATAAAACAATGCCTTAAAAGAGGATTACTGTAAAAGAGAAATGTACATATAAAACCAAGCATTTTGCAGACTACATAATATTGCATGATGTTAAATAAAACAATTTTTTACAAAGTGTCGCTCATTTTGGTAGCTTTTCCCTGTCGTAGCTTTATAGTTGATTGTAAAAACGTGGCTACCTTCCCTGATATTTCAGAAGCGGAGTCATTCAGAAGATGGTGCATTTTTAAAGCACCAGGAAGGTCCGTCATGTTGGTTAAAATAGGGTTTAAATATCTAAAACGTATATCTACATAAAATTGACAATGCAAACAGATATGTGAAACTGTCTCAATACATCCAGAGTTACAGTGGCAAAGTCTAGCCATAAATACTATATTATTATACCTCCCATGCAAGATGGCTGATGGTATTGCATTGAATCCTGCTAGAGAAAGGGCTCTGCGCTGTTGTGGTGCTTGTATATCAGATAGGTATGGGGCCATTCGGCCTACCGTGAGGGGAATCTCAAAGTTCAGAGGGGAGTAAGATTTGTTGGCTAAGCTGGAGGGCTTGAGAAATCACCAGATTCAAAGCTGGGGACTGTGAAGACACTAACAGGGTCATCCTGTGCCTGTTTACTCAGATGCACGTCCCACTCTGTTCAGTGGATGCCTGGGACTGGAGACTAAGCACATAAAACGTAACAGTTATCAGCAGGTGCAAATTCCTTTTTTGTTCTAGGGTCAAGCGAGACGGGCCTGTTGCAGGGCTGGGGGGAGGCTTTTGCAGACCCCCCTGGTTCTTCTCCTCTTTCTTGACATTCCCACGGACAGAGGTGGATTTGTGGGCTGTGCTGTGAAACCACATTTGAGAAAATACGTCGTTTTCATTTCAGATAAAAGAACTGGGAAGTGGGTGTTTTAAAAGGTCCTCGTCCTTAGCTCTAAATGTTAGCAGGTATTGTGGTCCACTCAGGTGTGGAGGAGACAGGGTGACATCTTGGGGGGGGGGGCTGCCTTGCCAAATAAGCCCTCCACCCCGACATGCTTTTTGCAGCTTATTGTGTTTCTGCCAGGCCTGCATTGCCTCTGGCTTGGAGCCTGCAGAGGAGGGAATGGGGCACAAGCCTGCCCTGGGCACCCATTTCTGTCTTCCTCCTGCCCTGAGTAGGGGGCACATGAGGCTCAGCCCGGTGGATGTGGGGTGGCCTGAATGAAATAACACCTGCCCTGTTTTGGTCTCTTTGCAGCTACCATTGGAGCCGTATTTGGGTTGACCACGTGTCTCAGCGCGCAGATCCGAGAGGCGCCAGACGACCCTCTGAACTACTTCATAGGCGGCTGCGCATCTGGCACCATCCTCGGAGCCAGAGGTCAGTCCGAGCACCATAGGTGCCAAGCACTACCGATGGAACAGAGGGGACTGCTCTTCCACCTTGCAGGCCGTGCCCACTCTGCACCCCTTTCTGCGCAAGTGCAGCCTTGCCACAGTTGCCCAGTCCCCGAGAAAGCCCAGGCTGATGATGGGGCTTCACGGGGTAGCCGGTCTTCCAGAGCTCCTGCTGGTTTACAAAACAGCCTCCCAGCTACCAGCTAGGATGAGAGAGCAGATGTGGCCGGGATTCCTCCAAGATCTTCTGCCAATTGTCAGTCTGTTTTCTGAGCGCAATTAAAGTGCTGGCTTTTGACCCTTAAAGCCCCAAGTAGCCTGAGGCAGCAGAAGGAATACTTGCCCCCATATGAACCTAAAAGCAGCCTGCTAGACCAAGTCCGAAAGTCACGGAGTCAGAAGAAGCCATACAGGCCATCTAGTCCAGCCCCTTGCTCAATGCACGATCATCCTAGAGCATCCCTGACAAGGGTTTGTCCAGCTGCTGCTTAAAGACTGCCAATGAGGGGGAGCTCACCACCTCCCTAGGCAGCTGATTCCACTGCTGAACTAGTCTTACTGTAAAAAAAATAAATTCCTAAGATTCAGCCGGTACCTGCCTACCCTTAATTTAAACCCATTCTTGCGAGTCCTCTCCTCTGCTGCGAACAGGAACAGCTCCCTGCCCTCCTCTAAGTGACAGCCCTTCAAAGACTTCCAGAGAGCAATCATGTCCCCCCTCAACCTCCTTTTCTCCAGACTGAACATTCCCAAGTCCCTCAGCCTTTCCTCAGAGGGCTTGGTCTCCAGACCACTGATCATCCGTGTCCCATTCTGCCCGCCTTGTCTAGAGCCCTATTTCCTGATGGGAGATAGGCAGACGAAGAGTGACCTGAATAAATAACATTCGAAGTGGCCAGTGAGAGACCCTGGAAGACCCTCACCAGGGCACAGAGGTCAAACCTTCCATCTAGCACATGGTAGTGAGGTATAAGTCCTCTGGACATTGTGTTGATCGTGGGCCTGGAGACCAAGCTTAGCTATCCTAGCTAATAACCGATAATGGGTGTTCTGGGTGCCCCCCAAACTTCAGAGGTAAGGTGGGTGCAGGCCCATCAAGAAGTGATTAACAGAGGGAATAAAATCTGGCTATCCTGCTGATCCTGAGAGTTGGGTAGGGTCCCCAGGGGGTGAGTGCGTGGCTCCGAATTCAGCAGCCCCTTTACTGACCTCAGGCCCATCTTCCTCAGTGCCATACTACCTCACAGGGCAAGGGGCATGCGCATGGCCCTGGACTCTTTTGTTCGGCCTGTTGCGTTCATCTTTGCAAGTCCTCTTACACTTGACGTGCCGTTTTTAAGAGGGTTCCAAGTGATTGTAAGCCACCCCAGAAACCTTTTCTAGCTGAAAGGCTGGTAAAGTAATTAACTACGAACACATTGGCTGTTTGGTGTGTGCTGGAAAATGGAGCTTCCGGGCCGGGTTCCAGAGAGCCGTTCTGCTCGGGGAGGTGCTCTGCTCCGGCTCTCGTGTCGGAGGAAGGCGCCTTCGACCGAACAGAATGGATCCCTGGGATTGCTCCCTTTCCCCCCAACTCTCTATAAAAGAACGCTCCACTTCTGAGACGTGACCTCATTTCCAAACTAAAAAGGAAGCTCCCCCCCTCCCCCACTTAATCAAGTTCGCTAGGGTAATGGAAAACAGGTGCCCCAAAACTCCCCATGTGTTGTGTGTGGCCTGGAAGAGGCTACAGAAGCGGGGCCCTTTCTCCTGTCTGGACTGTGGTGGTCCAGCGCCCTTGGGGAAGTAATCTGTGGGAATGGCATCTCTGTGGGATGCGAAGCCAAGAAGCATCTACATGAACGGCAGTGTTGACAGAACTAATTGCCAGCAACTAATGCGTGTGAAGAACGAAAGGTGATGGGGAAATGCGTCTTGTGTCCCTGTGACGCCAGCTCTGATCTTTCCTTTTGCTTTTTTTCAGCTCACAGCTTTGCCACTGGCACAACGGCGTGTCTCAGCCTCGGCCTCGTGGCTACACTTACTAAAATTGGCAAGAGGGATGGCTGGCAGGTGACCTTTCCCCGAGCGTAACCCTGGAGCCTTCCCCCTGTGTCCTGTCCAGTAGAGGTCATGCTGTGTGCCGCAGCCCTGGGCATTGGCTGAGATCCACAGAGAACCCTGGCTGCTCCGTGTCTGAACGGCCTGGGGCTGGTGTGCAGCCAGACCGGTCTTTGTGATGGTGGAAGCTTCAGTGCCGATACAGAGACCACCACCCTGGAGTCCTTCATCCCTCCAGACTGAAGCTGCTCGAGCGGGGGGGGGGGGGGGGGTGTAGTCACTTGTTTTTTCC